TGTGGCATCTCCCTTGGCCGTGAGTAAACTGTTGTGGATTATTATTATTATTATTATTTTTTAAATCTTTTGGGGTTTTTCATTTGTTTTCTTTTTCTTTTTCTTTTTTTTTTTTTTTTAATGCCCTGTGCCCTGATTACAAAAATTTTACTACTGTTTTATAAATAAATGTATAAAAGAATGAACTGGAATGGAAGAAGAATCATTAAAATATATTTATTTACAACATCCCGGAGCGTTGCGGCGTGGGCTGTTTCTTCTCATCCCGGAGGAGGGAGCCTCATGGAGCCGGAAGCACCCAAAACCACGTCCCCCAGTGATGCCACAGCATCTGTGTCTCATAGGGGAGCTAATGTAGATTTGGGGGGCTTGGTTTTGGGGTTTTCTTGAGGAAAATCTGCAAAAAAGAGGAGGGAAGCACTGCTGTTCCTCTCACTGAGCCAGTCCTCTGTGATTTGGGGTTTTGGGGGTCCTTTGGGAGAGGTGCCACCCACTGCAGGTTGCTGCAGGGAGATCCCCAGCTCCCACTGCTGAGCACAGCTGGGACTCATGAGGTGCTGACCCAGCTGCTAATTGCTTAATTGGATCCAGGCTCGGCCCCTTAATTAATGGTGGTCCCAAGGCCCCAGAGAGTAGAGTTGGGGGAGTTGTGTCCCAGAAATGGGGTAGGTTTGGGGTTGTTGTCCTGGTTTGTGCTGGATGTGGGTGATGGTGGAGCCATCCCAGGAGCTCAGGTGAGTTCCTGACTTTTTGGGTGCCCTGGGAGGAGGTGTGGGGCTGGGTGGGGGCTTTGCTGCCCCCCCCTCAATGCTGAGGCTGGCTTGGGATCACCCTGGGGTGCTCTGAAACCTCTCTGGGTGCTGTCAAACCCCTCTGGGTACCCTGGTACAGGCAGGATTTGGGGCAGGGTATTCTCACCTCCTGTTTGCAAACTTACTGCAGGCTGGGGATGCTCCTGCCCAATGCAAGGGGAAAAAATATGATTATGAAGTCTCCCAAAGTCTCCTGGCTGAGACCTTTCCTGGCAAAACTCATCACATGCTGTGTTTCCAGCCCCTGTCTGTGCTCCCCTGTGCACGGAGCCATGCGCCAGGTTCCCGCTGCCCCCTGCTCCCCTCTGTGATGGTGTTAAACACACATGGGAGATTTAAAAAAAAAATAATAGAAAATCCATCTTAAAATAGACTTCCCTGGATGGAAAATCACAGGGGCTCATCTTGGAAACTTTATTAAAAGGAGAAGGAGGGGAAAAAAAGAGCAAAAGGAGGCTGGGGGGAGAGAAAGAGTAAGTAGTTTCAGACACTTTAAAAAAAAAAATATCCTGATTTGATTTATCTGGGGAGTGTGAACACTAAATAGAGAACAACGCCTGAAGTGTGAATTATTTCCTATATTAACACAGAGAAAAACTGATAGCCTTTTCATGTCAAGAGAATAGCGCGGAGGGGAGGGAGGGGGGAGAATGACATTGTTCAATCTCCGGGTTTGCTCACTCTTTATCAGGCTGAGATCAAAATTTATTCCCAGGATGAGGCCTGCGGCCCGGCTGAGGCCCTAGAGATTTTTAAGGGCCTAATTAAGAAAACAGGATGAAAATGGCGAAATAAGAGGGCAATTTACTTCTTGCAGAATAGGGAGATCAAATCAACTTATGAGCAATTAATGTGCACAAGGAGAGAATAAAGGGATGCTGGGATATGGTAGAGGGCCTCATTTTAATGACATGCTCTGGTGTTGGCATAGAGGATTACTCTGAAGGTCAGATGTAGATTGAAACGACCTTGCAGATTCTTAACCCTCCTTCCAATTAACAGAACCAACTCAGAAATGCAAAAGACCCTGGCTTGGAGCACTGTCATCCCTTTATGTTCAGAAGGGAGGGGAGAAAAAAAATGAAAATTACAAAGGAGAGCGAGGACGAAAGGGGGTTTCCTTGGCTTAAACGGTGATGGGAGAGAAGGGCTCTTAATTACAGTCTCTGAGCCACCCACGCTACAGAAATGGGTGTCAGGGCTCCCAGTGGGTTATAAAGGGAGGGAGCAAGGGCTGGGTGTGATGAGCTGTGCCTGGGCTCTGCTTCTGAGGATGGATGGGGACCGGGTGCAGGCTCAGCCATCTCACCAGGGGGATTTGGGCGCTGTGTCCTCCCCACCCGTGTCCCCTCCACCCGTGACGGGCTCTCTTGGTGGCACTGCTGGCCTTGTGCACGCTGTGGGGATTCTCCCACGGGCTTTTTTTGGGGAGGGAGAAAGGTGCGGATCAGAGCGGTGCCGGTGCCGGCTCCTCCCCGGGGGCCGGGGGGGAAGCGTCACGCGTGGACGGACGGAACGGGACCGGGGGACGGGTACATCGCGGAGCCGGGCGGGAGGCGGGAGCGGCCGGGCTGCAGCGGGGCTGAGCGGCCACCAGAGAGAGCCAGACCGTTACCGGAGAG